CCGTGTTTGCCATTTGCCATTCCTGAACGGTTTGCCGGAGGTTTGTCTTGTCAAGGCATGACCATAAGGCTGACCGGTTATGGGCTCTGATAGTATGGGAACACAAACCCCGGTTTTTACCGGGGCACCCTTTTCGACCATTCGACCTAGTGCATATCGAAATCCATAAATGACCATTCCAAATTAGGACAGGTTGCTTACCCGTTTATAGGTTGTTTGAAACCGCTGCATACGTAGTGAAACCCTAGCTCCTGACAAAATAGGACAGGAAAACCCTACCCCGACATAGGGGTGTTTTGGCTCTTACTTGCATGGTATTTGCTGTTAGAGTGTGTCTCTATAGGTTGTGTGTATCAGTTTGCAAGTCTGGGTATCAGGCCTGTGGGCATCAGCATCAGTATTTGGGGAATCAGTTTTACCGAGGGTATCAGTTTACAGGCAGATATTTGGGAAACAATGATCAGTATTGAGTACAGTCATCCTAGTATGCTCAAATCCGTTCCAGTGAAATTGTGCTGAGATGCTGTCGGTTTTCTCTTTTGTTAGGTAGTCCTGGAACTATAGCTTCAGAACGCTCCGATATCCCCGGGGTACATTGGACTAGTGTTGATAGACTTTGTTAGGTCAGAAATTCAATTCAAGGGCAACCAGTGTTCTTTCGCTGAGGCAAGGCAAAGAAAGGCCAGTCAGGGCTCACCGGTTCATCTGATCCGTCAGTCGCCAGTCACATCACCTTTGTTCAGACTCAGCAGACCATGATGGCCCAGGGTTCGGGAGAATTTGTGGCCATGATAGCAGCGTTAAATCAGGGAACTGCCATGCAGGCTGAGACCAGTATTGAAATGCAGCATCCATCTGGGGCATCTGCCTCACATCCAGCTTTGGGACCCTAGCCAAACTTTGATCCACTTCTGCCAGTTGAAGATTTACAGTGTCCGAATCCTCGAGAAAGGTTGACCCTTCGGCACCGAGTCAGGGTTTCCTAAATTTCCCCATTAAAAAATATTTAGGTGGCGACTCTGTATCTGGCAAAGCAGTCCATGTTTGGAACTTCTTTTCAAAAAATCTGTTTCTCAAAACGATTTGCCGGATTTGGACTCTTTGGTTCAGATTAAGAACCGTGACAACAAATCGAGTCCGAACTGTAGCACGGGGTCCCACGCGGACTTGTTACAAGCATCCTCAGCCTCAGCCTCAGTAGCCTTGGCCTTAGGCTAGGCCTTCTTGGTTCTTCTTGGCTTCGGCGGGGGCAATGGTTGGGATGGAACAGCATCGATGTCGGTTGGAAGGTCGGCTAGGAGATCTTGGGCGACAGGCTTTGGGCGAACCATCTCGGCAGGTTTTACGAGTCTTCGCCAACGTTTTCTTTCTGGTATTGGGATTAGGTATGGGTCAGAAGTTGATGGTTGGTCGGCTGGATCAGAGGTTGACCCTTGGTCAACCCGAGATGTTGATGCTGTTTGCAGAGTGGTAGCAGAGGGAGGAGATAGGCTCTTCTTCTTCCTTTTTGGGACGTCGGACAGTGTGGATTTGTATGTCGGAATAAAGTTCAGTAACAGGGGAGCCTTGCGCTTATGGATTGGAAGAGCTAGGAGCTTCTTTAAATCTTTTCCTGGGAAGAAGGATTGGTGAAAGTTTTTTGGTGGCTGATGAAGATCTGCAGGACAAACAAACAAGACATTAGAAACAGAAAGTTTTCAAGACTTGGAAAAAGAAATAACTAAGTATTGGCGCTGGTCTCTTACCCTTGCCCTCTTTAACTGTTCGAGGAAGAGGGTAGAGGTGAACATCTTCGTCTGGACCAAATTCCCAATTTCCCGAAGCAATGACAAAGTCATCTCCGGCTCCCTTGTTGGAGTCCGGGAGGTCGGCTATAATTTTGAATTCAGTAGACCTCGGCATGAGGTGGTAGACGTAACCTTTTTCCTTCAGGTTAAGGGGCCACATGGTATAACAATATTGAACATCGGCAAGGGTGATCCTAACATTCTCCTGCCTAGCTAGGGTTATGATACCAAAAATCACTCAATAAGAGTTTATGGCAAGTTGCATAGGGTTTAGCTTATAAAAATGCAAAATCTCGCGGAAAAGAATGTTAAGTGGAAGCCGAAGTCCACACTCAGGAAAGGCTACAATAGGGAGAGGCATGGTGCTTTTGGTAGGCATGATGGAGTCACCATCCTCAGCCAGTTTCAGATGAACATCGGCAGGATGGAGAACTCCTGCCTAAAGTACTCAAGTTTGGTCGGGGTATCAACCCTATGTCTCCACATGCCCATAACGTCGGCCTAAAGTCAGAAGGCTAGATTCCAGGAAAAAGGTGCTCTTAAGGGATTATTGGGACCTCGGCAAAACCCTAGGTAAGGACTGATAAGGCTTGTTTCAGTTTTCCTTAAAAATTCAGGGTTCTACAGACAAAACCCAAACCTAAATCTATGAAGGCAAAGATTGAAAGCAAGAATTAAAGGCAGAGATCTGGAAAACAACACAGGAAACAAGAAACAAAGAATGACGTTTCAGAATCAAGAACAGAGGTATGGTTCTCAAAAGCGAAAGAAACACAGGCTCAAGAACAAAGGCAAAAAAGTATTGAAATAGTACAAGTGTTCAAGACATGAGTGAAATCATGGAATAAGTGCGTCCAGACAAAATAGTTCAGCAAAATCAAAGGTTTGAAACAAAGCAATAATGGCAGCAAGTAAACAAAAGCACACAGAAGAAATTTGAAATAAGAAGAACAGAGGCTTACTAGAACAAATAAAGCCGGAATACAAGTCGCCGAGGTAAGGCAACGGATTGCAGGCAAGACGGAATGACAAAAGCTTCGCTAGAATGGAGGAATGATGATAGTTGTAGAGCTTGGAGCTAGAGCAATGGCGGGTTTGAGAATGTTTAGAGAGAGAAAGAGCCAGAAAAACGAATGCAAAAGTAAAGAAACGAAGAGGAGAGTAAAGTTTTATCAAAAACTTGAAACGGCGGCAAAAAGCGGCATTTATTGCGCCTGGAGGAACGCGTGCGTCAGACGGCGCAGACAGGTGAAAGACGGATTACAAGCGTGTCACAGACACGGGCCAATGACGATAGAACAAGTAAGGAAAACGGTTGAGAAGAAATGCATGACAGCTCATGCGCGTAAGGGAGTTTGTTTGAGTTCTTGTTCTCCGAAGGGAACACGTCGGCCTGAAATAAGTGATCTCGGCCGAAGAGTTCTCGCACCGAGGTACTGGAAGAAAATACAGATATAGGTTCCATCACCTCAAAATGCCGAGGTAATAGAACCTAGGGGGCAGTTGTGGGATGTATTTTCTGAATACCAACATGTGGCATGGTGACGCCGACGTGTCAGCCGACGTGCCACGTGTCATGGTCGTTATGCCGAGGTTATCTTGACAATGCCGAGGTTATCTCTGAAGATATCAAAATCCGAGATAAGCGGATAAGGGACAAGAGTTCTAGAGTAAAAAGAAGACTTTGCTAAGATAAGGATAAAGCTCTTAGGGAGTTTATCTTTATCTCTTGAGGAATCCAAAGTAAGTACTAAATTGGAGTCCATAGAAGTCAGGCTTCTAGTAGGACTTGGATTGAGTAAACTATAAAAGAGAGGCACCCCCGTGGGTCTAAGGTACACAGTTTTATACTCAAGCTTGTGAGTTTAGCACTTGATTATCTTTGAGAGATATACTGACTTGATCGTCGGAGTGCCCCCGGGTGGAAGAGCCACCGCCGGAGCCTTTTCTTTCTGTTACAGGTTTGCTGAAGCCATCTATTCTGCCGGTGCTCTCCAGCTGATTACTAAGCGGGCAGTGTGGTCGGAAAATCACCCACACACTTAGCATATTTTTTATGTCATGTTATATCTATTATTCTATTTGTCAATAAAATATTAATGAAATGAGTCTCATCACTTACATTATGTCTAATATTAACAATTAAACTAGAATAATAGAATAGTGTAAGAAAAATAGATAGCGACGGCATTACTCACGTTTTTAAACCATATTAACATTCGTTTATAATTTGCATTGGGATGGGGTTTGGCAAACGCGAATCCCCCCTCCCCCACGCACAAAATAAAAAAGTTTTGAAAAAATCTCTTAAATATAGTATTAAAATTACAAATATTTTAAAATTATATAGGTTCGTCACTTCAAAATTTTTGCAAAAAATTTAAGAACTGTCACTCCTTAAATTTTCTACTTTAAAATTTAATTATTATTTTGATAAATACTAAAAATAATAATAATAATAATTTATTTTTTAAGTATGATTATTTTTTATTTTAAATTTAGTAATGTTAAAACAATTGAGAATTTATTTGTTAATATGTTAAAGTCCTTTTTTGTCTAATTAGGGCCCAAAATTTTTAATTGCTTGGTTATAACTAAATACAAGATATAAAAAATACTACTCACGTGTAACCTGCCCACGCTTGAAAATGCCCCAAATTCTTATTAACCTAATTACATGTAACTTTGCCCCACGCTTGAAAATGCCCCCAAATTCTTATTAACCTAATTGTTTAAGCCCCCTTCTCCACTTTACTCTCTCTCTCTCTCTCTCTCTCTTTAAATGATATGAAAGCTTGGGAAAGAACTGCAGACCTTGCACTGAAACAACAAATAGAGGCAATACAGTGAATCAGACCTCGTGTCCTCTGATTCCTTTTTCACTTTTTCACTTCTAGGTAATATTAATCTCTTTCATTTTTTTTTTCAAATTTATTCACTCATTTGTTGTCTGATTTTTTTTAAATGATTAATCTCGTTTTTGGAAATAACAAAATCTCAATATGCTCTGTTTAGTTGCTAGAAACTGGGGGAAAACTAATGAAAATGAAATCGAAATCTTCTCTTGCTTTGGTTGCAAAGCTAAGCGTTTACTATAGGCTTAAATAATAATAATAATAATCTTCAATTTGGATGCAATTCACCTCGTTGGGGTTAAAAATTCTATTACTCTGAACATGTTTATTATTTACGCATTGAAAATGACATATCCTTTGTTAGATTAGATTATATTGTTAGTGTGCTTCTTACCTAGTGAGTAACAAAAATTGTTTAATAATTTTCAGGTTCTTAAATAAAATTGATTCTTCTTTAAGAAAATAGGCTCTCAAGATATAGAAGTTAATGCAACTACAAAACATTTCACTGATAATGTTGAAGCTTCAATTCCTGAACAACGTCCTCGTAAAGTGCCTAGAATAGAATCCAAAGAAGTTGATACATCTTCTTTGGTAAGGGATCCAGGACTATGATCACAAATTTGGGAGTATTTGATATCTCAACGTGATGAGATTCGACGAGCTTACATCAAATTTGGACCATACCAACCTGACAACCAACCTTTTGAAGAGAAGAATGGGCGCCATTTTCTAGCTTCTTGGTACAAGTTATTTCTAGATCAGCTAGAATATTCTCCAACCAAACATTGTGCCTTTTGTCTTCCTTGCTATCTTTTTACAAAACCAAATGGACTCACTACTTCTAGCGCTTTCATTTCTGATGGATTTTCTTCATGGAAGAAAGCCAATAGTGGGAAGAATTGTGCTTTCTTAACTCATATTGGAAAGGACCCTAATTCATCGCATAGAATTATTGTCGAATCTTGCCATGATTTAACAATTCAAGCGCAACACATTGAGAAATTAGTTGAGAAACAAACTTCTCAATAAGTTGCCAAAATCCGTTTGTGGTTGAAGACTACAATAGATGCTGTCAAATGGCTTACATTTCAAGCTTGTGCATTTAGAGGTTGTGATGAAAGTCATGATTCTAACAATCGAGAAAATATTATTGAATTGATAAAGCTCTTGGCATCTTATAATGCAGATGTGGCAGATGTTGTGTTACACAAAGCTCCTCAAAATGCTTCATACTACTCGCATCGAATTCAAAAAGAGATTCTTATTATTTTCTTTGACAAAATACAAAGATGCATTCTTGAGGAGATTGATGAAGCAAAATTTTGCATTATAGTGGATGAAGCTCGAGATGAATCAAAGAGGGAGCAAATGGCCATTGTTCTACGATTTGTTGATAAAGATGGCTTTATAAAGGAGCATTTTTTTGACATAGTTCATGTATCGGATACAACATCAGCAACTTTGAAAGAAGAAATATATATTGTCCTATCTCATCATAATCTCAGTGTACAAAATATTTGTGGTCAAGGCTATGATGGTGCTTGTAATATGCGTGGAGAGTGGACTGGGTTACCGGCCTTATTTCTTCATGACAATCATTTTACATATTATGTTCATTGCTTTGCTCATCGACTCCAATTAGCATTGGTAGCAATAGCAAGAGAGGTTATACCCGTTGTCCAATTTTTTTCTTATCTGGATCTCACAGTTAATCTATCTGGCTCTTCTTGTAAAAGGCATGATCAGTTGAAAGTTGCTCAAGCTGAAGAAATTGTAGCAGAAGTTGAAACTGGTAAAGGAAAAAATCAAGTTGGGACATTTAAACGGGTTAGAGATACTCGATGGGGTTCTTACTTGGGATCTATTTCCAATTTGATAAATATGTTTAGAGCAACTTGTTCAGTCTTAAGTAATGTCATCAATGATGGAGCCACCTCTACTTAACATGCAGATGCTGATGGAGTTTATGATAAGATTACATCTTTAAAGTTTGTGTTTATCTTACATTTGATGAGAGATAATATGGGGACTACTGATGATCTTTGCCAAGCTTCGCAATGTAAATCCCAAGATATATTGAATACAATGCATCTGGTGTCAACTACAAAAGCACTTGTTCAAAAATATAGAGAATATGAATGGATTCCTTTGTTGGAGAATGTTTAACTATTTTGTGGATGGAAAATATAACATAGATATTCTTGATATGAGTGCTCGTTACACATCTGGTAGAGGTCGTGTTTGTCACCAAAGAGATCACATTACTATTAAGCATCATTTTTGGGTTGATATTTTTACAATTACATGTGATTCTCAATTGCAAGAATTGAACAATAGATTCAAAGAAGATGTGATGGAGTTGCTTATTCTTAGCTCTGCTTTAGATCCTAGGGATGATTACAATTCGTTCAAAATTGAAGATATATGCAAGCTTGCAAATCAATTTATCCTAATCACTTTATAGAGCAAGAAAAAATACATTTGAAATTCCAATTGCAAAACTACGAGATTGACATCCTTAAACATCGTAGGTTTTAGCAGTTATTGACAATTTCTGACTTGTACCAAATGTTGGCAATAACAAGGAAGTCAACAATCTATCCTCTTGTCGATAGATTAATTCGTTTTGTTCTAATTTACCAGTTTCTATGGCGACAACAGTACGTGCATTTTTAGCTATGAAAATTGTAAAGACTAGATTGCGCAACAGGATGGAAGATGATTTTCTTTCAAGCTACTTGCTAACATATGTTGAGAAAGACATTACTCAAGATTTTGATGTAGATTCCATCATATATGCGTTTTATATTATGAAAGAACATCGAGCGCAACTTTAGATGCCTAAGTAGATATTTAAAGCAAATAGTTGCTTTTTTGAAAATTAATATGGATTTACTAAAACATATCTAATTGTATTTTGACAACATTTTGTAATTATATACGATGAACGGAAACATCTAATTATATATTTTTGTGATATTTGGGTAGAAATTGATATATATCACATGCACATTACAAATTTTTTGATTACATATACACTCGCCCCCCTCGATATTAGAATCCTACGTCCGTCCCTGTCATTTAATGTTCTTAAATTTGTGTTGAATGTGAATTAGTCAAAAGTCATTTTGTTATTGGTCAATAATGTAGTGTTTGGAACATAGATTTTGAAAGACAAAGAAAAAATATGAGTGAAATATAAATAAAATATAACTACATTTTTTATGACCGAGTGTTTGGATTAATTTATGCGCACCTCAATTAATCTCGAAATTCACGTAAAACGCCCTCTTCACATGAATTGGACAAATCTCAGACAGTGCCCGCGAGCGTAGCCCCAAAGAGTTGAAAGCAACTAGTGAGAGGTGAACCTAAAATCTGAATATAGTGCATCCTTAGGTCCCAGGTTGCACCCACTAAGGCAACCAACCCGTTGAAATTATAAAATAAAATTACGTTTCATTCACTTTTTCATTTCCCTTTACAAATCCGTACCTAAATTCATAATCCACACTTTTTGACTGCGTGTACTTGGAATTGCTCCCGATGTAATAGACGTTAGTTCAACTTCAAATTTTTTTGGGTTTTTCTATTTTTTTTTAATGAAAAACAATAAAATGTTCAAAAACACAAAAATCATTCCCTTTTGCATTTTTAGAGCCTTTGCCACAACCCTTAATATTCATTCTTTTGCCAGTAGCTTAACTAAGGTTAGGTTGGGACTTTAGCTAGTAAAAGAGTGAAGGGTTAGAGAGGATATAACATAATAGTCTGGGGATTAGGATCAAACCATCAACCCTCTCTACCTCGTTTCTCTAGATCCTTTTTTGATAACAATCTTCTTACGTTGTTCGGCTCAAATTGCCTATATCCATAAAAGAGAGAGTTTCCATTATAAACAAAATAGAGAATACATGTGAGATGGCCAAACTACTCAAAACCCACACTATTACCCAAACCACATGCTCAAAAATAGTTGAGCCCTTACTAGCCTGGTGTCCATGGTATTTTTTTCTCTCACCCTTACATCTCTATTGTTTTTCCTCACTACTCTCTTAATCTCTCTCAAATAAAATCCCATAGTCCACATGACTATTTCTAATAGTCTACCCATAAGAATTCTAATTCTATACAATTAAGTAACCAAATCCTATAGATATTAGGTTTCTTAGTAGATTATGAATTCCACTATCCTAACCCAAATACATAGACACACCAACCTAATAACCGTATAGGACCCACATTTATCATATAAATAGACGAATCCTAACAAAAACACATAACACATTAAACTATGCAACACCAAGACCTAACAAAGAAGAGAAACCCTGAAAACTAAGAAAATATGAAACTAAAACCTCAACTCAAAAAAAGAAACTTAGTCCTCGATGGAGACCACCTCTGTTATAGTTAAAAATCTTAAAGAAGCTTCTTGATGTACTGTAGTTGGAACACAAAATTGGTCACACCAAAGTCAAGAGAAGCATTTGACTGGATTTGTTTCTTTTTTCTCTTTTGGTCATTAATTTTGTATTTTATTGGTTTTGTTTCATATTTCAACTTAGTTGATATAGGGCCTTTAAATTATGATACTTTTGTCTTGGCCTTTTGTGCCTTCTTGATGTAATTTTTGTATATCTTGTACTTTTATTTTGCATCAATAAATTTTTTTACAGATCAAAAAAATAAAAAATAAAAAATAAAAAATGCAAGAGAAGCATGATTTAGATTTAACGCAAAAAGCCATTCTTGTCACTATGAGCTCGGGAAGAAGAAGCCAATCGGGTTAAACTTTATTAAACACCAAATCATTTCTAATGAACTAAATTGACCAGAGGATCACAAATGGAATCGTTTCTGAAATAATCTATTTTTTTTCCTAACTGGAACTCATTGTCACCAAGAAAACAATGAGTTCTGTGGGATCCAAAAAATAACATATCAACTTATTGGGGCTAATCGAAACAAGGCCTAACAATGGGCCTTGCCCAAACAAGCAAGCCCACTAACCAAATATCTACTAAGCAAATATCACATCCCGCATCTATATAAAATAAGGGCATCCCAAGGAGTAAGGTATGCCTCATTTCTTAGCACCAGACAGCACACACACACACTCATCAGTTCTTCATCATCTTTCTTTTATTCAAGTTACTAACTTTATTATCGAAATGTCTCCGGCCGAAAACTCAGGTTGGGTGGCGCCGACCATGCTTATCTTTGTAGATTTATGGAGCAAAGCTCATCTCTTCGTTGGATCTCTACAATCCATGTGAGAGGATTTTCTGGATCTCACAAACGGCGCCGTTTGTGGGAAAGAGCTAAAGAATTCAACGAAGAGAAGAATAGATACGACACTCAAGGTGCTCGGACCAGTGAGCACCGAGGGTAACCAATCTCTTTCTCAAAAAGGAGACCCACAACTGCATATTTGGCTTCTTTCTTTTTGATTATGTTTATTGCTAAAGTTCAAGTGTGTGTATATATATATATTTGATCAAACCCTTGTTGAATATCAATATTACTTAGAAAGGTTGACAAAATAAGATGAAGTTAGTAGTTCTACAATTGGGTCTAGACTCTCTCTCTCTCTCTAGAATTGTTCCTGGCAAGCTATTAAAAAAATAAAAAATAAAAATGATACCAACCAAGGGGCCGAGTAGCTTATTCATTGCTTCACTACTTCGGAACACCGTCGAAATTATAAGATGCCGAACATAGTCCAAACCAAAACTCGTATCTCATCCCATCCTTGAAATCAGGATCTGTGAACATAATATTATCATCTATATGTGCCGAACTCACTAAATGGAATTGTGAAACAATCTCGGCAAAGAGTGAGGGTTGTTCGGCGTCGATGAAAGGTTGAGAATAAGCATTGTCGAGCACGTAAAATCGAAGATCATTTTCCCTGATGAAGACCAAGGTTCTTTGGCAAGATCTCTCATGTCACTCGGCAATGTCATCCACCTGCAAGAAAGACCCGTTTTCTAGCGAAGGCATTGGCCACCTTGACCAAGCTCACTGAGGAAAGCTAAAGTTCCCCAATGCTAAACCACGTTGAGTAAAATGGAGCACCGACCTTCTATATAGCCAAAGTATTTCTCATTCAGAAAACTGTTTCAACAGTCGGAATCCAATGCCTTGAATCACCTAGTAGACCACAAGCCATACCAACAACTACAACACTACCGTTGTCGGCGACCACAACACCCGTTTAACAATTGATAATTATAATGAGCTTGCCGAGTTACTAACATTGTGAAGCCACAAGATTAGACCCACGATCAAGTTCACTAATATTGTTACTCAACAACATTGCAAAGCCGAAACACGTCAGTCACGCACGGCGATAACTACAATCGTACCTTAGCCACCACTTCACCCACTAATTTTCACACCGAGAAATAAACTACCCCGATTGTTCGAGTGCAAATTCAATGACCCATCACGAGCCTTGCCAAGCTCTTTTGTCAAGCATATTCCGCCACCAAGCACACTTCACCACCCGAGCACATCCTGCCAAGAGCACATTTTTCCAAACACCTTCCTTCAGCCGACCACACTTCGACCGAGGAGAAAAGTCGAACAATACCCAAAAGAAAAAAAAATAGAATAATGTTATTTTTGGTCAACTTTCGGAGGTTCGATGGCATCCAAACAAAGGAAAAATGAGGCGTCAGAATGATGGAATGAATACCAACTCGCGAGATGAATCCAATGCTGCAAAAATGAGGCCAATCAGACTTAAAACGAGGGATATACAAGAGCTCAAAGTCAGGAGTTTGAATTTAAAAATTATGGATTTCACGGCCTGGTGCATGGAGAAGATGACATTAAGATTTATCATGCGCTTCTCGACACAAGGTGCTCTATTGCATCTTAGCACGCTTGGGTTAATCGAGTGGTCTGATAACTTCAGGCATGACTACCCTCAAGGTTTTCGGCGTGTAGAATCCATTTTCAGAGTCCAAATTTGCAAGGGGACATTAAATGATAGATCAATGGTCAAATCGTGTTCGATCAATATGCAATTTTGACAGCAGGCTCCTGGAGCGCTAGGCCACAATCATCCATCTTCACCAATCATTCATTCATCTCTTGGCCATCTACTGCCACCTGGGGTAGGACCCACAACTTGAATTTTGTTTACATTCGATTTGCACCATTTGTCATCTTCTTAAACACCAACAAAAATATATATATATATATATAGCTCAAGTGTGTTTACAATTATTAATTCAACTATATCTTCTGTAATGATCTTATGGTTTAATTAGCAGTGCATCAACATTACTCAAACACACATTAGTCATTCGGCTACTAACTTGTTAAAATTCGCACAGCCACTCGACTGTTTTTGGGACGCATGGCACCACAACTCCATCACCATGCTCATCGACAATAATCGTCCTCACTTAAATGGTGCAAGTATATATCCTTAATCGTGTTGGCTACAACCGC